GAGTCTACTTTACTGGCATAAAAGTGTTCAACAATCTGCCACAAAGTATTAAAAACTTGGGCAATGATACTAAAAAGTTTAAATCAGAGTTAAAGAATTATCTACATGCTCATTCCTTCTACTCTTTAGATGAATACTTCAATGTAAATAGAGAATGATGTAAAATTAAGTTATATTAATTTTTAAGCTAAAATTGCCTGTACTTATGTATGTAACCTTTTGACTTGTTCTGTATCCAAAGGTACTAACCTGCTTAGGATTTATAGACTGTAAATAAATTCAATTCAGTTCAATAGTACTCAGATTTTTTAATGTCATTGGCTTCATTGTTAATAATAAACATTATCTTAAAAATCTGCAGGCTTGATTTATTTCTTAAAACTGTCAATATACGGCTTTAAATTTCAGTTCATTAACTGGGACTTACTTTGAAGAGTGGAAGAATCTTATTGCAAATATTCAACTCTGAATTTAATTATGTCAGAGAAACACAGTATTAAAGATGACTTGTGTGTACGCAGGATGAGAGCAAGTACAAAAGCTGACTATTTATAGTTCATAAAGATTACAATTCCTGACCTCAAATTGTTTTCTGTGGTATAACACACAAACTACCCTTCACATATTTCACATTATACAGGACAGTAAGGGGGCACGCGGTAGCATAGTTGGTTGGTTGAGGCACTATATTACAAGCCAGGTCTTGGGTCCTGATGAGGTGGATTTTTTCCAATTCACCTAATCCTCCCAACCACAATATGGCCCTGGGGTAGACTCAGCCTCTAACAGAAATGAGTATCAGGAATCTTCCTGGGGGGTAAAGGGTGGCTGGCGCATAAGGCTGACAGCCTTACCACCATCTATGAGCTGACTGTCTAGATAATGTGGGACTCTTGACATCTCACAATCCTATGGGCCTCCATGGCTTGTTACAGGGATAGTAAGTGCAATAACAGAAACCTGCTTGAGCAGCAAACTGTCATGTAGTGTAGGCAAGTATTAATAACAGTTATTATTTGAATTATGAATTGTTATCTTGAGTAGGTAATTTATGGAAGAAGAGCCTTGTGTGGTCAATAAGATATTGGTGTGGTGATTTTGGTTCCCATCATATGCTGAAAATAGAACTTAATAACTTTCCAATCATGATGTAATGATCTCCATCAGTATCTGACAGTGGTGCAACCTCGAACATGTTTTATATGGCATATAATAAATTTACTTACTAAGACTAACACAAAATGAGTACAAATCAATCACAGCTCCATGTGAAGGTACTGGAGTACTATGAAATGCCAACAGAATACTACATTGGAGGGGAAATGGATTTAAACATTAACCAATGGCATCTGTAAATGGAGAAAATTTAACTTAGATATTATGGTTGGAATCAGAGACTCTGAACTGTGAAAAAATTAAGTGGGAATGTCTTTATATATTGAGAATCAACAATGGGGAAGCATCTAAGTTCAATTATCAGTACTGTTTTCTGAGCAACAGTTCTGGTACTCATTGCTTTTAGCAAGAATGAAGTATGTGTTCTGTGACTTAGGAACCACACAAGAGAGGAACTGTTGGGTGTGAAGTTGTCATTCCCAGTGAAAAAGATGGAAGTGGAGGAGCAAGAAGAGACAACAGAAGGGTCGACATCTTCCCCCTACAGGTGTCCAATATGTTACAGAACTCTTACGACACAACAGCAATTGGAAAGTCATGTGGCCATGCATACAGACAACAGCTTTCCATGCCACATATGTGGAAAGGTAATTTATATTGGATTGAATATATATATGTTTTCCTTTTCAGTGCTTTTCAGGCTTGCCAAGCATGTCACAAAATGTTCATAAATGTTTTGCAGAAAGGTTAAGCCTTGGCACTAGACGGAGACAAGTGGAAAAACTGATACCTACTTCTACTTCTAAGAGGATGTAATACTCATTGACAGGAGGGTGGACCCGTCTGAATTGAAGTGTTGCTGTCTCACATGTGCATTACAGGTTTTGAGCAAGAAGAATACTCTTGAGTACCATCTGAGAACACACACTGGTGAGAAACCATTCACGTGCAGGATGTGCCCTGCAGCTTTCCAGTCTCGGGTTGGCTTGATTGTACATGAAAGAATACACACAGGAGAGAAACCTTACCAATGCGATCAGTGTGAGATGGCATTCCGATGTCGTGCAACTCTCAATCAGCACAAGGTATGTCAAGCCCACAATTTATTCAAAGCAGATTTTGACAAAATTTAAAGTTAAGACCAATTTACATCAATTAATCTACATTTATCATTATTTGATTATGTTGAATTGTGGTCTTTTGGCGTTATGGTGGATACTTCAAAATACGGTTACATTTGAACATCTATTTCTAAACAGTTCATAAGCAAAATGTCTAATAAAAATTATCCTGTTATGTCATATTTGATACTAAAAGTTATGAGACTTTTTGCACAGTCCGCTGATCTTTAGTGAAAAAATGTACTAACATTTATGAACATGTACTAACATTTAAGTGTTGTGAGCCATTTTCCAGATACGCATATGTGAACAGATGAATGTTTTATGCTGTATGTGGTAAATTGCTTGTTGAATCTGGTTTTAGGTTGTCCACTCTGATGAGCGGCCTTATTGTTGCACACACTGTGGAAGAGGTTTTAGACGACGTGACACACTGGACACACATATTCGCACCCATACAGATGAGCGTCCCTATGCCTGTCGTCTTTGTGGACGTGCCTTTAGACAGAAAGGAGACTGCAGCAAACATGAGAAAACTCATGGAAAACGTGCAAAGTCTCTTGTGCTACTCACTGAAGGAGATAGTGCAGCTGTGTACAGCTGTCCATTGTGTGGGCAAATGTATGAGCTGAAAGAAGATTTGGACCACCATTTTGAAAATGAACATACGCCTGAAGAGAAAGCCTCTAGTATTGTTATTATTAATTCTGACAATGTTATAACAATTCCAGGCATTGCTACTGTTGGAGAAGAAATTCCAAGTCTTGTGCTTCATGAACTGCAATGAACACAAAAACACTGTTTTGAACACCTGTACAGGAAGACATTCATAAAGATAATGACTTATTATAATTTACAGTGAAATCTCATAAGTACAAGTGTTATAGGACAAAGAATACAACTGTGCTATCCTCAAGTATACTTAGGAAATGTTATGATGTCTCGTTCCTGACAACACGTTTGTGCGTCTTCATATAAGTGCTCCATGTACGCTTAGCCATAAAACACTAGGCTGGGAAAAGCAGATGACATTGAAAAAGGTGCATGGACTTAACTATTTCACAGTTGTACTCAGATACAGATACATAACGTTAGTAGCCAATATGGAAATAAGTGGTTTCCAATGAGTGCTAAGAATATAACTGATGGAAAGAAATGTGACATTGAAAAGGTTAGCAGGGAATTGTCAAACAGAAAAAATATAATTCTGATTCAAAAGACCCAATAAACAAACAAACAAACACACTCATAACACTATCATGTGTTAGTGACTAGATTTGTGGATTGGATTCGTAATTTATTTATTGACTGGCTGTACCTTGTAACTACAAATAACTACAACAGTCTCACTGATTTACACTCTGTAAATCACTGTAACGCCGCACCATAGCTCAAGCAGTTAGTCGCTGGCTTCCCACCGCGGTGGCCGGGTTCAAACCCAGGTCTGGTCAAGTGGGATTTGTGGTGGACAAAGTCGCGCTGGGGTAGGTTTTCTCTGAGTACTTCGGTTTCCCCTGCCAATCTTCATTCCACCAAATTCTCCATCATCATAATCACCCGGGGAAGGTACAATAGGCCAATCAGTGGTTGCTGTGCCAAGTGGACTCAACTCAACTCCACCCCCCACTATGCAAATTAAAAAAAAAATTTAGATCACTGTAACTACAGCACACATAGCCTTCTTTTTGTTCACTAGCTATTGTTAGGTAGCAGCTGTTAACAATGCACCTGAAGACAGCCAACTACCAACTCACTGGCTGGCTTCAGAATCACAGGTTTGGAATGAAGTGGGAAATTTTCTTGAAATTTGATATTAAGGCAGCCCAGTTCATGATATCCTACCCTTGAATCCAATCTTCAGTTATTCTAGCAATACATTCATGTGAACTTATGACGTGAAAGTAACTTTAGAATCATTCAGTACGTGTGAAAATATGAATAATAGTTTCAAAGTAAGAAACTTTTCTTAAGATCATGCCTGTGCAAACAGTACAAACAAAGTGGTGACAATGAAATACGTTATTTCTAATGATATGGGTGGTGTACCAATGAAGCTGGCCATATGAAATTGTATATAGAGATTATAATTAGAATCCCTCCAAATCTACTTGTATTTAAAGGTTTTTGATATATTTTTCACTGTTCTGCAACTTGTCTTAATTGAACTAATCCACAATAAAGACCAATGACCTACCCTACAGCCTGTTTTTTCTTTTTTTGTAGAAAAACGGCTCTGGGCTGCAGGTGCATTTGAACCCCTCTGCAGGATTACTGGTGTATTTAATTTAGTTAATATAGGTAATTTAAATAAAATATTATTAACTTCCCAAGAATTGTGTTTAAGTGGGTCAGACTATGGGAACAAATGGACCGATTTTCTGGACATGCAGAAAGAATACAATGTTCTACAATATCTGGGAGTAGTAATAGTACTACATGTTTTGTGCCCAAGAAAAGCATTTTGCCCCAATTTTCCATGTAAACCAGCTTCAATTTACATAAAAAACATACTGCATTTAAATCAATTCAATTCCCTAACATAGAGTAGTACACCTTAGAGCTGGAGTTTGTGCTGACTCTGCTTAAGATGATGACATAAGCATAAAATGAGGCAAGAGGTCTTTCAGAAGACTCTGAATATGACAGCTCATGACATGCCATAGAAAGGAACGTGATGGAAAGCTCCTTTTTACTTCATGGTACAGGCAGTGAACCCTATTCCAACTTCACATCCTCACTGTTTCTCTTCCAATTTCTGCCTCGGTGTCAGCATCCTCACAGTTTATACTATTGAATTGGGTTTGGTATTCTTTCACCATTCTAAATGGTTTATCCACTTTTGTCTGTGTTGATCTATATTTTATTTTTACTGATTGTATTTCCAGTTATATCCGAATATCTTCATTCTTAATATGGTCTAGCCTAGTGCAGCTTTTAACTCTTCTTACATAACTCATCTCTATTGATTGTATTCTATTTATGTCTTTTCTTTTGTCCAAAATTTTATTTCCACAGAGCAATGCTGATAGTGCTGTTATTTTATACGTGTGTTGTGTACTAAATTGAAGAATTATAGAGTAGAATAAAAGATTTAATGAATAACTGATCAAGGGAAGTGCCGAGTGGAATAATTTTACTTCCATAAGCATTTCTTTTAGTAAGGTATAATTAAAAGTTCTAATTTTGAAAATCAAGAACTGGTGCAGTCATTATTATGCCACAAGAACATAATCTACTGCCTGGAGTTTACAGCATAAATGATATTTTCAATTGTATAGAAAGTTTGTGTTTTATTGTGGTTCCTTTTACATACAATTCTGTTTTAACAATATTATTTGTTATGACGAACTCTGTGTTTTACCATATCACTACGCTGAGCAAATGGGCGTTTACATATGTCACACACATGGGGTTTCTCCCCAGTGTGTGTACGAAGATGACCAACCAAGTATGTACGGCGTCGAAACCGGGCATCACAATGTGGACATGCAAAGGGACGTTCTTCCGAGTGCAGTGCACGGTGTGCATGCAATCCACTAAGAGAACGGAAACGTTTGCCACATTCTGAACAGCAAAATGGCCGTTCACCTGTGTGAATACGCTCATGTTCCACCAGTGTCTTCCTCAATGCTAATTCCTTCCCACACATTTTACATACAAATTTCCTTGCATTGTGTGTCTTAGCATGACTGTCTAACTGTGTCTGAGATTTGAAGTGCTTTTTACAAACATGACATGAATATACTGTCTCTCCATTATGGTCTTTCATATGAAGTGCTAGAGTCAATTTGGATGAAAAGCTGGAATCACATATGTTACAATGAACAGTCTTCTTTAACGTTTCACTTTCTAATATCTCCTCTCTTGTATGAGAAGCTACATGCCTCATCAAAGCCGTTGCTGATGGAAAGGAACTGTTGCAAATGTGACACGGATTATCATTGTCAGGCAGATGTCTTGACTGATGTTCTTCCAAATTGCTCTTCCTTTTAAACATCTTTCCACAAATATCACATCCATGAGGGCGCTGCTCAGAATGAGATATGGTATGATACCTCAAGTTTGATCTGGATGCAAAACTTTTCCCGCAAGTTCCACAGGCAAAGTTCTTTACTCCTGTGTGGGTGGTCATGTGCATCCGAAGCAAGGTAACGCTCTTAAATCTCTTCCCACACATATCACAGATGAATTTCTTTATGACTTCAGGATCCCAGTGAATTTTAAGATGTGACAACAAAGAATTTTTAGATCTGAACATCTTTCCACATGTTTGGCATAGGTATATTCTTTCTGCCGAATGACTAACAAGGTGTAATTCATAATCATGACTGTTGTTGTACGTTTGGTCACATGTCTTGCATGTATAAATTGTGGAAGTTAGATTCTGAGGAACCTCAAAACAATCACTTCTTGCTTTCACACAAATAATATGTAATGGCCGTTTTTTGTCAAGTTTAGTATCTTCTTCAGTTGCCCAACTCTCTGTAATAGTGTAGATATTCATGTCTTGGACAGTTTCTTGTATTTGATCATCTTGTTCTATATGTTCCTCACATCCTTCTTCCATAATTCCATCTTCATTACTTATAACGTCTTCTCTGCAGGTTCCTGATCCAATAGGAATAATTTCATTCTGTTGAATGTAATAGCTGTGATCAGACAGGATCTGATGAAATTCTTTTCCTTTATTACTTTTGACTGCATCTGTTTCATGTTCTGCCCACATCCATGATGACTGACTGTACCTGAAATGAAAAATAATGAGGTGTGTCAGATTTGCATTTATGTTATGCAACACTGTCACCATATCAGAAACAAAATATTGCATATAACCTAGGAGGATGCAAACAAATTAATTAGTACACTGGAAAAATACATTTATTACATTGAGAATGGGAGAGCATTCATTTAATATAGTATGCAGACTAAACTGAAAACACGGTTATAATATGAAGAAAATAGTTATATTTGTTAGTAAAGCTGCATTATTTCCATACAGCTGTATTGGCAAATTTAGTCTTCCATAATACATAAAGGCAGAGTTATCCCTCTGCTTAATTAATTCGGCACTACACCATGAAGACGAATGGGGGAGTGGATATATAGACCCACGTTTTCTTGTCCTTTGCACTAGTTGGAGGTGAGTGGTCAGCTTCACCCCCTGGCCACTTTACCCCTGGGGAAAGAGCCACTGGAACCATTGGAGGCTGAATGGGCCCCAGAGCCAGTCTGGATAACATGGAGAAGTTAAAAATTCTTGCCCCCACCAGGACTCAGCCATCCATCCAGCCCATAGCCAGTTGTACCAACTGCACCATTGTGGTACTTATACATATATATTAGAAATTTTATAACACTTATTAAAAGTATTTTTGAGAAAAAGCCACTATATTTTGAGGGTCATGTACTTGTTTTTTTTTTAATTACTAGATATGTTTCCACAGAGAGATATTTATAAACTCTGTTCAACTGTTCAGACACTGGAGTGCAGAAACAGATGACAATCTAGGACATTTCTAATTTTCATTTCATGCATCCTGTTGTGTTACAATATACAACCTCTTTATTAACCGTCACAACACGTCAAGTGTTTTATATGATTAATAGTATTGTATCCCGTTTAACAGTACGGCAGTTCAGTGGTGTATATATGTTTAACCATGTATTTGCCTGATGATGGATATTGATAGCCGAAACATGTAGCAGAGCCGTAGCTGGGCACTGACCTTGATATTTGTTGTGTTGTGATGGTTAATAAAGAGGTTGTAGGACATTTCTGCTACATTTTTTTGATAAACTTTTCATGCTCACAGTACACTACATATGCTTTGCACGAAATCACAAAGAACTGCAGACTGTGATCCCATATGTATGTTGAAAAGTTCAGAGTTACAAATAAGCACTTACTGCTGTTCTGTCAGTGTCTCTATAGTTCTTGCTTTTGGTAACTTTTCTTCATTTATACATTCTCTCTTTATCCCAGTCAATGAAGAAAACTGTTTAATTATAACATCACTGAGCTAAATATAATACAAAAATAATTTTACTATATGCCCACAGCAAATCCAGCCTTAAGATTTCATTTGACTGTCATGCTGGTGTCTTCTATTAGACAAGAAGGTTCAGAAAACATTCATAGGCATGTTCATAATCTTGTATGAGTATCATAAGTTTTCCAAATGTTGCAGCTATAGTTTGTGGGTAACTGTGAAATTAAAAGTAAAATTTATAATATGCACTGAATTTTATTCCACA